GAATGGCGAAGGTAGGAAGAGAAAGGGCGTGCGGAGATGAGGAGGGCGAGTTGGATCGTGAGGACGGCGGCGAATAGAAGCGTGCTGGCGGGGCTTAGGGTTAGGGTGGTTAGCTTACCGGTGGGGCCTTTTCAATAAGTGAACATTTGAAGGCAGAGAATCTGAATGCTGAAGCATTTTCAGAGCAAAGAAACGTAATTGAAATTGCGGCCGCGTCGATGACGGGATTCCAGTTCTTGATTCTTTCCGTTGGATCATGAGAGAGAGAGAGAGAGAGAGAGAGAGAGAGAGAGAGAGAGAGAGAGAGTGTGTGTGTATTATTGTCTTCATATATTTTGAACTCTTGGGTTTTGTGTTTTGGGGGCTCAGAGAATAATGAAGAGAGAGAGAGAGAGAGAGAGAGAGAGAGAGAGAGAGAGAGAGAGTGTGTGTGTATTATTGTCTTCATATATTTTGAACTCTTGGGTTTTGTGTTTTGGGGGCTCAGAGAATAATGAGTTTAATTTTGGGGGTTTTTGAGAGCGTTGAAAAAGTCTTGGGAGATGATGGAATAGTTGTTAGGAAATTGGGGGTTAGAAGCAATTTTCCCTAAAAATTAACCTATGGCATCTGCTATATATTGAAGATATCTAACGTATTGCATCTACTATATATTGAAGATATCACTGCTGGTCTTTACGTGTTAATTTAGAAAGACTTTTACTTTCTCTGCACACAGTTTATGGGTCCCACATTGTCTTTCAGGCCAAAGCAAAATCTCATAAAAAGGCCTAGTAGGTCATCACTGAAGGTCCCATGGCGGTGACAATCTATTTTCAGTATCATTCTTCTTTTTTGCAGTATCTGAACCCAGAAAAAGGCTTGTGAACATCATCGTTATCCTGCCAAAATAATATTCCTGCATTGTGCAATGGATCATTGGGGACTTTGATGGTAACACTTCAAAATGCATTCTGTTGTTCCCTAGCGTCTGCTCAGTAATGTAGACTTCGTCATGAAGTATCACTCTTTACCTTTCATCTGTCTTTGCTGTCCTTTATTTTTATCGAAGTATAGGTCGATAGAAATTAAGGGAAATTGGTCATTTGAAATGTGGCTACCATTAATGCAATATGGTAGAACTACTAAATCTTTCGTGTCAAAGAGTGTATAAAATCCATAAGTCATTCTTTGGCCAACTCCGATTCGAGAGGTACGCAAAAAATTTATACTTGCATATACTTTTAACCTGAGTAGTCGTTGTGGAGCCAAATCTCTCAACCTGATATATTTCGCAACTTCAGGTCATTCATCAGGTGACAGAGTGACTGGGTTTACTGCAGTTGGCTAAAGCACTGAAATAGCGCTACGGTCTGTAGGTTTGTTTACTAAAATGTGGATGACTTTGTTCAATTTGAAGGGTTCTGATACATTGCAGGTTATATCAAAGTGCTCTACTATCGATTAATTGGTCGAGCCCATTTCTCAAATCTAAGTGTTCCTAACTGAGATTAATTCAGCAATCCGATGCTAGCATATAGATTCATGTTTAAGAAAAATCCTTTGATAAGAAAATCCGTGTTGTTAGCAAATGTGGATTCCAAGTTAGGGGGAAAAAAATCATGTCTTCCATTTGTTCTTGTCATAACAAGTTTAATCTGGTGGGACCTGATACATCAAGCATTTGGCATTAACTAAATCAGCTCATCTGAAATTTTATTTGATCCTTCTCCAAGGTGGCACTGATTGTGTGATGAATGAATGCTATTCAAGCATCAGATCGACTGATTTTTGCTAAATAGACTTGCTCATCATTGTACTACCAGCTTCCTCCCTTTCTTTTACATATCTGCCATAAAATATGTCCTACTACTAAATGACAGACAAATTGCTTTTACTTGTGAGAGGTTATAAATTCAAACTTCCCGGTTTTCTGTAAGCAAAGGTGATCTTATTTCCTCGTTTGGCACGCTAGAATTAGTGAGAATGGACTGCTCATTCCTATTTCTCATTCATGTGAAGCAAACGTGCCATCTATTTGGAGGCTAGAATGTTCATTCCCACTTCTCCATTCCCACATTTTGTGTCAATAGACAATCCCAATGAATTGGTAGAATATGAAAATTTTAAAATACTTAACAAATATTCCATTAATTACTCATACTAATAATAATAAAAAAATTGCATTCACATCTCATTCTCTAATCGCATCCAAATGTGAGAATGAAAATGGACATTCCATTCCCACCCTCATTTTATTTCTTACTTCATTTTATTCTCACTTAGATCAAACTGCCGTGTACCAAATAATCTGTAAGAGTAACATGCAAAAGCTTGAACAATTCCATTTTGACTTACTGCATTCTTCATAAAAGATCTTTTACTTTGAAAAAAATCGAGAGTCAAAATAAAGCTCTGAGCAGTTACTTCTCGTAATCTCAAACTAAACATGAATAAGTCTTAACATGGCATATGATTCAAACTTCCTCCAAAAAAATTGATGGAAAGCTTGAAAAGGAAATATATTCAACCATCTTAATATTACACAAACCTTGCGCTCAGCAATATTTAAACACTAGAAATCGTCTGTATGGGGCTACGCTCATCAAAAGTAGTTGTGGTAATCCTTAACTGGCTGTAGTTGATCACTTAGCCGAGTTATAATCTTTTCTTAATTCAGTGCTGTCATTTCCAAGTGCGATGGACGCCACAGATGATTAACTTGATAAAGCAACGAAGACAAAGAAAACTACCACAGAAACATATGAATCAAACAAGGTTCAATAAATCAATCTGATTATATGTCCTTAGAGTATAACCAAGTCATGGTCTCCAACGATAATCAATAAAGATTACAACCAAAGACATTTTTATATGGTAGGTTCTGTTTAGGTTAGAGTTCAGTGGAAGTCCCTAAAGTATCAGCCAAATATGAGTTGGGTCTTGAATGTTAATTTGGAAGTCATCAGTGGGGGCTCTAACGTTAGCCATGTCTTCAACTTGGGTTCTTATCACAAACTTCCATCAAATTTTACTATCGTGACAATAATGTGGCGCTGCATTGTCAATTAAAAATTAGTAAAATTCTAAATTTATCCTGCCATATCAATAAAAAAAATAGTAAAATTACACGTTTATATTGATGTTTGGAGTTTCATTTTTTTTCCTTTTTTGGCATGGCAATGACATGAGAAAGCCGCATCATTGCCTTGTCAGCAAGATCAAATAGAATTTAGTTAAAAGGCTTAGGCTCGTGGCGTAGGTAACATTAGGAAGCCCAGTGATGACCTCCAAACACTAATAATCTAAATGATATTTAGCTAATACATTGGGAACCTCTGTTGAAAATTTGCCTTTTGTTTATAGACTGAGAATGCAAAAATACCCACACCTCACAAACATACAATCAATTTTGTTTCGGATGCTGCAACCCGCTATGTGGAAGCATCGCACAGAAGCCCAAGATCAAATGTATAGCACAAAACAAATAGATAAAATTGATCAAACACAAGCACAGAAAATTGATCAAACACGACCACAGTTGAAAACAACATCATGTATGCTGTTAGGAGATATATTGGAACAGTTGAAGACATTTGGGAGTTCTTAATACATGCCACAAGGCATGGGGGTTAAAGCCCCAGTTTATAAGTTTACAGGGTTATCTCAAAATGCGCCAAAACATAGGCGGGTTATGTGAATTAATTCAGGATCCTCATTCAAATACATAAACACGTAATAGTACCATCCAACAGCATGTCATGTTTCATTGAATGGTACATCTTATGTATATTGAAATGTTTAATAATTACATGTTTATCTTTCTGATCAGCTTCTCACCTGATTAGAATAAAGCAAACTTTTGTACCGAGATGACACAAACTCCGACTAGCATTCAGGCTGCTATTGATTTGCATACCTCGAGACAACTAGCTAGGTTCTCTTGGAAACATACACCTTGCAAAATATATTCTTTGAACTTGCCCTCAAAACTAGAATAGGCCAATAGCAAACCAGAATAATCAGCAACTCGAGCATGAAGAATCCCATACTGACCCACATAAATATTGTCCACCTCCAGTTCCAGATAACTCTTCTAAAGAAAGGGAGCTCAGATTCAAGTCTCATCGATGCAGAATAGATTTCGGGAATTCCAGCTCCTCCCATGTATTCTGCCCTCTGTTCAAGAATTATACGTACAGATGCAGTTGGCTCAGCTCCTTCAATAAAGCCTATCATTTCTAAACAAAGAGTCTGGGACTCCAAAGAACAGCCTGTCAAAAGAGAGCCACTTCTAATGATGGTTTCCAAATAACGGATGAGTGAGCTTTTGAAGCGAAGCATGCATGGATGACTTAAATTGATGATGAGTTGGCCTTCTCTAGATAAAAATTCTGCTTTAACCTGCTTTACAGAATCATATGTTAACAAATAACAATGAAATTTATCACAAAAAAATTAACGTAAATGACAAAAGGGACAGGACTGGATGCAGAAATTAGTGCTTTTTCATCTTTCCCTTACCATAATAAACTTTATGAGCACCAAAATAAGTATGCAAATTGATGATAAACAAAAGTAGAAAAGTACAAGTTTGGGTTCACCCGTTGCATCTTAGACATGATACACAGAATTGAATCGGCATGAAACTTCTTAGGGCAGTTTTATATAGTTCACTTACCATATTGCCTATCTAAGAGCCTTCAGCTGCAATACTGTAGCAAAATAAGGAACAAAAAAAAAACAATGGAGAAAGAATCATGCCATTGGTTGATCTTACATAATATTTAAGAACACAACAGTTGAAATAATTGTATGAAAATGGTGGGTCCCTTCCACCTTTTACCGATACAGGGAAGAAAGTTCATCGTATATGTTGGTGTCATGACCATAACTAGTAACCTTCTTATAGCAAGTCATACGACTCTAATCAACACTTCTCTCAAATATTTAAATCCTAAATATGATAGAGTTTTAAGAGGAGTGTTGGTTGGGATGCGTGATTTGATATGAGATCACAAGCAAGGTTGCTGATAGCGGATAGCGTCGCGTTGCATCGCGGTGAAGTATGTACCGCTAAGGCTATTTAGGGCTATTGCGCTAAAATAGCAGCAAATAGCGCATAGTCAAATAACGGTCAAATATGAATATATTTAAATATTCTAAAAAATAAGAAAAATTATAAAAAAATCTAAATATTCTACAAATGCATTTTGGATGCCTAAGCATGATATAGATGTGTGACAATAGCATAATATTAACAAAGTACTATAATTATAAAGAATTCTCTCTATTTGAAGTAGATGAGCTTGCAAATTATTTAGCCAAATTACCTTTTTCTTTCTATTGCAGACCAAACCCAACAGTGATGGTCGCAGTGATGGAGAAGGTGAGCCCCTGAGAGGTGTTGCTGCTGGAAATGGAGTCGACTAGAGATAGTGGTGTTGCTGCGGGAAATTGAGTCGATAGGAGGTGGTGTTGCTGCTGCCGGAGGTGGTTTTAGCCTTTAATGGAGGCGACGAGGGAGGTGGTCACTGGAGGAGGTGAGAGAGAGATGGTTGTGTTGCTGCTAGAGATAGCGTTGATTGGAGGTGGTGTTGCTGCTGGAGATAGCGTTGATTGGAAGTGGTGTTGCTGTTGCCAGTGGTGGTTTCAGCCTCTAATGGAGGCGTTGAGGGA